AATGAAGAGTTTCATGTGGGAAATCGCTTAAGAGAGGTGAACCTGCATGTTATGGGGATTAAGGCTACTATTTTGCAGGGGAAGAAATTTTTGAGTAGTGGTATCACCCGATAGAATCGAATGATTCGCTGGCTCGCACCGCCTAAGGGGTGGTTTAAAATGGACTCTGATGGGGCCTTTAATGCGTCGAATGGTTAGTGCTGGAGATTTGATCCGCAACTCTTGTGGCCAATGGGTGAGTGGCTTTATAATGAATATCGGTTTGACAAAAGTCGCCGGCGCCCAATTATGGGTTCTCTTTCAGGCCCTTCAACTGGCATGGAACTTGGGATGATCTAAGGTTATCGCCTCAATGGACAACCAGGGAGTCATGCAGATGATCAATGGGCTGCATGATGGCTTGGGGATGCATGGAAGTTTAATAAGAGTGGGAACTGATTGCCCGGGAATGGAGGGTTCAACTGTTGCATGATTGGCGTGAGTTGAATTTCGCAGCTTCATTAGCTTCAACTAGCCCCAGTGGTCTTCAATATTTGGATGCGCCACCAATGCTGTTAGAATACACACTTGTGAGTTGTCCAACATCGTCTCTACAGGGAAAATAGGCCTAACTTATAAGCCTAGTGGGCTACTCCTCCTACCACCAATTAGTTTTGGGATGAAACTTCACTTGAATTTCATTTGGCCTTCCTTGATTTGATCCGCTTCGTCCGTGGGACCGCACCAGTCAACCCCCGATTGTCAAATGAGAGTAAAACCGTGGCTAGAACACGATCTTATCCGTGTATCTTACCCACGAAATGTGATCGTTTCACAACTTAGGCTTTTCGTCTCTTTTCATGTACCAAAAAAAATAAATAAAAAAATGATATTCCATTTATCGTCTCCGGTCCGGTTGGCCCCCCCTTAAAATTCGCGTCTCTATCTTCCCCTTTTTCGTTTCCCTGTCTACACTCTCTTCCAAGCCTCCCGATTTCATGTCCTTATATATATTTATTATTACAAGCACACGTTCTTTCATTATTTCACTTAAACCCCAAACGGGAAAAAAAAACCAAATAAAACAAAAAAATATATATACACATATAATATAATAATAATAATAGATAAATAAAAAGTACACATGTCAACTCCACCGTCTTCATCATCATCACCACCATCCCCATCCCTGGAGGGAGCCGCCGGCGGCCGCGTAGGGCCGCCGGCGTCGTCGTCGTCATCTTCCCGTAGTAGAATGAGGTCCGGCGATGAGGTCTGGCCGGAACCCTTCATCGAGGCCCTTGCCCTTCGTGTAGCCACCGATGCGTCTCGTAATCTCGGCCGCCTTTACTCCGCCCAAGCTCTCTCCAACATTTTTCAGGTTTTTGTTAGTAACTCTTTGCTTCGTAATTTTTGTGTGAGCCTTAAATGAATTTTTTTTTTTAATATTTTCAAAATAAATTTGAATTGTCTACTTAATAAAATATTTTGGGCTTGTAGTTAGCATTACATTTATTTTTAATGGTATGTTAGGGGTGTTATTTAGGTTTTCGATTAGGGAAAAAATTAATTATCCATCATTTTTTTTTATCTATGTTTTTTTTCTCTCTAGAATTTGAAGGGATTAATTGCACGGATCTTTTTGTATTTTTCTCTTGTAAATTTCATTTTATATCAAATAAAAACTCATTTGCTACCCTATTTTATTTTGTTTCATTTTTTTTTTACCAAACATTTGAAAATACTTCAATGGTATGGACCGAATTCGTTTATATATATATATATATATATATATATATATATATATATATATAATTTATACATATAATTGTTAGCAAAACATTTAATAAAACCTTATTATTTTCCGAGATTACAAAAACATGTTTACTTAATTATTATTTTTATTTTAATTAAAACTTTAAATAACTCACTAATCGATGAATATTTGATCAATATAAATAATTGCTAACAAAATAGTTAATAAAACTACTTGAATTTTCAAATTTTTCCTTTACAATGTAATTGTTTTTTTTTTTTTAAAAAAAATGGGTAACTGAAATTTAATAAATGACTTTTTAGATAATGTTTAATTAAATTCTAATCACATTTTTAATTATTCTGTTATATAATAATTATACTAAAATTAATTATAATTTACACTAGATGTTACATGGAATGGAAGTTCAATAAATAAAAAAATAAAAAATGCTACATGTACATAATAAATGTACATAAGGAGTACATAACACTCAAATAGAGTGGGGTGTACCTGATATTTTATTTTTGGTAGGTTTCACTCAATGTGAGTGTTATGTACACTTTTATGTATAACATTATGTACTTATAGCATTACTCTAAAAAAAATATATTGAAATTTTTTTCTTAAACTATTTATTGCTCTTAGGGGTATAACCAAGCCTATTAAAAATTTATAAATAATAATAATAATAATAATAATAATAATAATAATAATAATAATAATGATAATTTCTAAGATAATTAATAGGTCAACATCTCTCAAATTTATAAAAGCGACATATCCATTTTATTTTATACAATATAGTGATGAAATTGAATACTTTTATAATGTTAATATGACAAAATTTTTAAAATGTGATATTATTATCTAACTTATGATTTTAATATTATATACATAAATATAATTTACAATAATTTAAACATCTGTGTCATGTATAGTATCGAATCCTAGTTTTATTCAATTTTATAGTAATACAATAGCTAGGCATGATACCTTTTTTTCCAACATATAACAAAAGAAAAATCTCTTGATACGTGCATTAATGAGAATGTACCAAACTACTTATTTTTTTTTTTTTTTTGTTAAGATCGTTTGGTACGTTGATGTAGGGAGAAAAGCGTACTATTTTTTTTTAGTTCCTTATTAAAAAGAAAAATGCTACAAGTACATAATAAATGTACATAGAGGTGTACATAACACTCACATGGAGTGGAGTCTACTTGATTTTTGATTTTTGGTAGGACCCATTTAATGTTAGTGTTATGTACACCTCTATGTGCACTATTATGTACATATAACATTACTCTATTAAAAATTGGGTAGTAGAGAAAATAAAGTTGATCGGTATAATCTTCACCAAATCCCATTTACCTTATTTACTTTGGTTGATAGGATAACATAATGGTAAAATTAACGTTTACGTCAAAAGACAGAGATAAAATATCGACTTAGGTGGCATACATTTAGCAGCGGGGCCCACACGGTAATCATCTATATGCTGATTATTCCATCCGGGGAGAACCCTGGATTTTCCTGTCCCTCTTTAGAAAAAACTCATTTGTCCTCAGAATTTTTAGTCCCGTAATGTCAATATAGGGCAATATGCTAACGTGTAAAGTTAGTTGGACTACTTTATATAATCCTATCACCCGGATTTTTCTGTCCCTCTTTAAAAAAAGCCCATTTTATCCATAGAATTTTTAGTCCAGTAATGTGAATATAAGACAAAATCCTGACGTGTAAAATTGGTTGGACTACTTTATATGATCCTATCAAAGAAAATAAACTTATGAAGAAACACTAAAAATTAAAACCTCCCCATCTAAGGTCTCTTTGGCAAAAGAAGTATGAGAACTCCTCAATCCATTGCTATCAAAGGAATTTGCCATTTTGTAACTCATCTTTTTCTTCCCATCTAAAAGTCTTTTTGTTTCTTTAGGGATTTTCTTTTGCAGAACCCATTTTCAGCTCTCAATAAAAAAAAAAAAAGTCCATTTTCCATTATATTTTTTCAAAATTATAATAACCCTTATATTGTGATGTGATGACTTTTGTGTATCCTTACAAAATAGGAATAATAACCTGTAGTAAAAAAGCTTTTACTTTTGAAGCAGTCAATTTGAAATTCTTTAGTTGAATCAATTCATTGTCCTTTGGGTTTTATCTATAAATCTATAAATAATGGTTAAAAGTAGAAAGGAATTGAGGCTAATAATAATACATATTTAAAGTAAGAAAATCTCTCTCTCTCTCTCTCTCTCTCTCTCTCTCTCTCACTTGTTACTTGTGTGTGTCAGATAGAGATGGGTATGAAGTAAAAAGGTGTTTGTATTTTTTCTATGATTTTGTCTGTATATTATTATATCTTCTTACTACTAAACCTGAACAATAACATTTAAGAGGGAGATGAAGTTGTCAGTCATTTGTAGGATATATATATATGTGTGATAATGATGATATGAATGAGGGGTTGAGTACAGCAGTACAAGTCTATTGGCTATATGGGACAGGTCCAATATAACCTAGACATACTTTCTCTCTCCCATTCTTCATTTATTTCTCTCTCCCCCTCCTCTCTGTGTATATATATTTTTAGGTGTCTTATTGATGTAGGGTTGCAGACGAGTCGAGTCGAGTCGGGTCGAACACTAGCCTTATCGAGTATGATTCATTTTTCTTTTAACTACTCGAGCTCGACTTGATAAAAAATTACAGTAACTCGAGTTCGGCTCGAAATCAGAATGCTCGCGCTCGACTCAAAAATTTTTAAGTGGAGAACTTAAATTATCACTAAGTGCTTATGTTATATTATTGTAATATATATATGAGATATTTTAGTAATAACTTCACATATATCTCGAGCCGCTCGACAATGCAGAATATAGACTCGAACTCGACTCGAGTTCGATTAAAATCGAGTTTTGACTCTAGTGCTCGTGAGCTGCTCGGCTCGGTAACAAGAAAAATGGAAGTAAAAAGATAGTAGAATTTTGTGGCCTCAACAACCTGACCGAGCAGACAAACAATAAGGGGACAATTTTAAGTTTTTTTTTAATTGGCTGGGCTTTAAGCATGCCTACAAAACACATCTCGGGTTTGCAGCCAAACAGCCTTTTTCAGAACAATATTTATTATTATGAATATATATATATAGAGTTTTCCTTTTGCTATTGGTATTCGCAAGCATGGCAAAGGGGTTTCCTTCCCTAGGTAGTTTTATTACACTTTTACTTAGACGTGGCCAGGTGCCGGGTCCGGGCCCGGCCCGGCCCGGCCCGCCGGGCCACGGGTCCGGAAATAGTGGAACCGGGACCGGCCCGGTTGGAACTAAGGGCCGGTTCGTAGAACCGGCCCGAACCGCCGGTTCACCGGCCCGGCGGTTCACGGGCCGGTACGGCCCTTAAAAAAAGCAAAAGAAATGACCCGGCCCGGCCCGGCCCGGCGGGACCAACAAAAAAAACCCGTGACCCTTAACCGGACCGGATTGGCCGCGGTCCGGTTCTCGAACCCGGCACTGTTCATGCCGGTACCGGTACCGGGCCGGGCCGGGCCGGTACCGGGTCACGGGTCGGGCCACGGGCCGGGCCGCCCGTGGCCATGTCTACTTTTACTAGTAATTAATTAATAAAGAAGTAATTTATATGTGATGCTCCTCCACTCCACCTCCCTCCCAACAAGTAATCTTTTTGTATAAATTTTATGGTGTCCGTTACGAAACCATTTTGTCGGGATTTATAACCGTTAGATTATCATATAATCATCACAGATAGTTAATCTAACAGTTGCAAATCTCGACGGAATAGTTCCGTAACGGTACCGTAGCATCTTCCAATTCTATTATATATATCATCAATATTTGTTACATCAACATTAGTAATTAATTAACTTGTGCATAGTTAGGAAAATTCAAGAGAGGATCATAAAATAAAAAATAAATAGATATTCCCAAAATATATCTATTACAAGTATTAATGGGCTAAAAGTGATTTTCATATGATCGTTTGTTTCTCAAAATGAAATGTTTCAAAAATATTAATTGTATGCCTTTTTTTTTTTTGTCTTTCATGACTTGCATAATTATGATACGATGATAACTAAAGAAGTCGTCATGACACACTCACTCACAGGTATGCTCGACGTGGCACGCCACGTCGTGGTCCGATCTCTTGTGGCGCCACCTCACCCAACGCGTCTGGAACGCCGATACCCTCCTCCACGACAGCTGGCGGGACGAGTACATCCACCGCCACCGGACTGCCAACAACTTCCGGCTAAGCCGTGCGGCCTACACCCCTCTCTACTTCTATCCGGCGGCCAACAACGAGAACAACGACGGCCTTGCCTGCCGCCGCCTGGCCCTCTCCGACCGCCACCTTGCCGCCGGATTCGCCAACGGGGCAGTCCACCTGTACCGGCTCCCGGACGGGGCCCACCTCTCGGCCTTCCACCCGACGCCGCGCCAGGACAGGCTCGGCCGTTTCTCGGGCGCCGTGGCTGGAATTGTGCTCACGGACGTGCGCGTCGTGTTCGCCACACTGGGCGGCGACGTCCACGTGGCAAACTTGGGTGATGGCGTGGGGCCCACACCGCCACTGAGGCGGGCGTACGCGGGTGACGTAGTGAACGACGGGGTGCTGGTGGATTTCACAGGGTGCGAGCGCTGGTGGGTAGGCCTATATGCAGGCACGTGTTTATGCGTTTTCTGATTTTAGTTTTTAGACATAGAATCAACGAATTCTAACATTTATTTATCATGATATGTATAGGTGTGCCAGGACATGGGCTGCGCGTATGGAATAGAGTAACCGAAGAGCTCGTTTTTGTTGGGGGCACCTTAACCGACCCGGAGGCAGTTACAGGGTGGCACATGCTGACCGAGCCTACACAACCAATCGGTCGGGTCCGCATAACAAGCCACGGCCGCATGGCAGTGGCGTGCACCAGTGTTCGAGTCATAGTCTTTGACTTGGAAAGTCACGTCGGGATGATATTAGGAGAGGAGGAATTCCAAAGGGAAATCATTGTGGGTTCGTTCGATACGGTCAACGAGTCGACGCTGATGGTCGACGCGCGCGGGTCGGCCACTATTCGAAGGGTGCCTACATTGGAGGAATCGTGCGGGTTCCTAGTGAGAGGAAGCCGGCTCGGTTTAGGGGAGGTTTTGGGGAGCGTAAACGGTGGGTATGGGGTGGTGTTGGTTAATGGGGTGGTTAAGGTTTGGGATATTGAGGTTGGTAGATATTTGTACAGATTTAGGGAAACAATTGGGGATTGTAGTGCCTTAGTGACGGATGATAGGTATGTGGCCGCTTATTCAACTGATGGGACTATACATCTATGGGACTTCGGGTTGTCATAAAATGAAAGAGTTTTTTAGTTTGTTAATTTGTACCAATGTTTCAAAAAAAA